CTGGATTAAAAGTGTGGATCATTGTAACCTGGATTAAAAGTGTGGATAATTGTAACCTGGATTAAAAGTGTGGATCATTGTAACCTAGATTAAAAGTGTGGATCATTGTAACCTGGATTAAAAGTGTGGATTATTGTAACCTGGATTAAAGGTGTGGATCATTGTAGTGAAGCCTTCGTGTTCAACCATGGACAGAGGCCTCATGTCAGTGACGATCATGTTCAGGATGTTTCAGTGAAGACAGCTGCTGCTGTGGTGTCCATGATGTCTGTCCATCATGAAGGATGTTGTTGTTGTTGTTGTTTGTTGTTGTTTTCTGGAATGAGACAGTAAATATGTTTTATATCATAATTTACAGCAACTCAAGAAATGCCTTGTTTCACTTACAGCGTTAGGTTCAGGCAAAAGTAGCTAAAAGAGCAATTACACACACACACACACACACACACACATACATATATATATAAAATACTTAATTACACACATTTGAGTAGATGTAATAAATTACTTTAATTCCTGTTTAAATGCAATTCATCCTGCCATACCTGCAGTGTCTTCAGACTTTGCCCGCAAATTAAAAGTTGAAGCTTAATCATTAAATTATTATCTTTGTGTTAGATTTATTTATAAATCACATTTAAACACTGCTTGTACCAATTAAATTAAATAAAAAGTAACACACACGTTCTCTATCACCGCCATTAATCAGATAACAAACAAACAAACAAACAAGCAGCTTCATCTACCAGACAGACTGACGCTACGTTTTCTCTCTTGAAACAGAACAAAGTGTTAAATTGTAGAGACTCACCTGCAACACGAGTTGGGAGTGAAACATGTTGTATCTGCTGCAGCTCCTTCCTCCTCCTCGTGACTCCGACATGTTTACGTTTTATCTCCGTTGTTCTCTCGTGTCGTGTCGGTGATTTTCAAAGATGCATGTTTCTCTTTTTATCTTTGTGAAGTTCTCCCACACTTTGGAGGACTTGTGTCGAACAGTTTTCGCTGCGTCGGTCATTTGTAAAATTTACTTAAATTTCCTTTAAAAACACGACTCTGCTTTGCTGCCCCCTCGCTCTGTTCAACTCGCGCTGCAGTTTTTTTTTCAAACTTTATTCAGTCAGTCAGCATTGACAATGAACTGCCCATGAACAAAACGAAACTGCTCTGCAGCGCCGTGAAAAGACGCATAATCGCGCGACACAACGAATCGATAACGAAATTCGTTGCCAACGCTTTTAATCATCGATTATCGATTTTATCGATTCGTTGTTGCAGCCCTAATATATATACATACATATATACATATACATATATACATATATATATACATATATACATATACATTTATACATATATATACATATGCATATATATACAGGTCCTTCTCAAAAAATGAGCATATTGAGATAAAGGTCATTATTTTCCATAATGTAATGATAAAAATGAAACTTTCATATATTTCAGATTCATTGCACACCAACTGAAATATTTTAGGTCTTTAATTGTTTTAATACTGATGATTATGGCATACAGCTCATGAAAACCCAAAATGCCTGTCCCAAAAAATTAGCATATTTCATCCCACCAATGAAAGACAAGAGTTTTTAATACAAAAAACACCAACCTTCAAATAATCATGTTCAGTTATGCACTCAATACTTGGTCGGGAATCCTTTTGCATGAATGACTGCTGTTGGACCTGCGAGCCGCTGAACCGAGCTGTTTACGTCGGAGACCCAGTCCGCCGCTGTTGGACCTGCGAGCCGCTGAACCTAGCTCTTTACGTTGGAGACCCGGTCCGCCGCTGTTGGACCTGCGAGCCGCTGAACCGAGCTGTTTACGTCGGAGACCCGGTCCGTTGCCGATTGGACCTGCGAGCCGCGGAAACCAAGGAAGCTAAACTACAGCTGTGGGATTTGGGAGCTGTTGCAACCGGGACCTGGTCTGTCACCGTTGGGGCTGCGAACTTCTGGACCGAGTGAATCGTGGGACCTGGAGGTTGTTGTCGCTAGTCCTCGACTAGATTTGGCTAGGCCTCGGCTAACAACAAGCTAACAACATAAGCTAACAACACTAGCCTGTGAACCTCGTGGCTGGATCCTGTGCTTCTGAGTTGAGACCAATAATCCAGAAGTATCGTGAGTAATGCCGAGCAAACACAGAGATAAGAGACAAGTGTCGGAAAGTAATTCAGAAGATATGGAGGAAGTTAAAAAATCTTTGAACTTTTTGAGTGCTGAAGTGACTAAATTGAGTGCAAATATGACTAAATTATCAGCTAAATGTGATTTACTAACAGGACTGTCTGAAGAAGTGAGACAATTGAAAGAACTGATGACTAGTAAAGACAAAAAAATAGCTGAACTGGAACAGAAAGTTGACGACATGGAACAATACACAAAAATAGACAACTTGGTGATCACTGGACTGGAAGTTAGGAACCGAACTTATGCAAGAGTTGTTGCTGGTACTAACACAGCAGAAGATGCACCACAGGAAGAACTACAGACTCTGGAGGAGCAAGTAGTGAATTTTTTACAAAACAAAGACATTGACTTCAAACATGAGGACATTTCAATCTGTCACACCCTGCCCAACAAATCAGATAAAGCCAAACCATCCGTAGTCATCAAGTTCATTAGCAGGAAATCAAGAAACCATGTAATAATGCAAGGAAAAAAACTGAAGGGAACAAATGTTTACATAAATGAACATCTAACTAAAAAAAATGGAAACATTGCACGTGAAGCAAGGTGGTTGAAAAAACAGAAAAAAATAGCATCAACTTGGACAAGAAATGGAAACATCTGGATCAAAATACAGGAAGGATCTCAGGCTAAAATAATAAAAGACCTGAAAGATCTGGAAAGACTAAAATAAGCTCAGGAAATGATAGATGATAAATCATTGACACAACTTCACAAGCAATAAATAATCAAAATATAAAACAAACAAATACATTATAATATGGCAACATACGAAGACTTAGAGTTTAAAATATACAATGTTGAAGATGCGATTGATACAAATTTTTTCCCTGCAATAAAAGACTGTGAATATTACAATGAAGAACAGTTTAATGACATCAATATAACAAATGGAGGTCTCTCTATGATTCACTTTAACAGTAGAAGTTTAAATGCAAAGATATCCAAAATAACAGATTATTTAAAACAGCTAAACAGAAACTTTACAATAATAGCACTGTCAGAGACATGGCTCAACGATGAAAACACAACTAATGTTCACATGGAAGGGTATGAATTATATCATGTGAACAGAAGCAACAAAAGAGGTGGTGGAGTGGCTCTATTTGTTAAAAATGAAA